ATGGGGAACCGGATCATCCGGGTCATCCGGGTGGAGAACCGGATCAACCGGACCATCCGGTTGGGGTACCGGGTGGGGAACCGGACCAACCGGACAGGGAACCGGACGGGAAGCCGGATCATCCGGGTCATCCGTATGGGGAATTGGATCGACCGGGTGATCCGGGTGGGGAACCGGATCAGCCGGGCAAGCCCGATGGGGAACCGGGTGGGGAAACGGACCAGCCGGGTAGGGTACCGGGCGGGGAACCGGACCATCCGGGTCATCCGGGTGGGGATCCGGATCGACCGGGTCATCCGGGTGGGGAACCGGACCAACCGGACCATCCGGGTGGGGAACCGGGTCGGGAACCGGATCAACCCGACCATCCGGTTGGGGAACCGGACCAATCGGACCGTCCGGGTGGGGAGCCGAATCGACCGGGTGGGAAATCGGACCAACCGGGTGGGGAACCGGACCAACCGGACCATCCGGGTGGGGAACCGGGTCGGGAACCGGATCAACCCGACCATCCGGTTGGGGAACCGGACCAATCGGACCGTCCGGGTGGGGAGCCGAATCGACCGGGTGGGAAATCGGACCAACCGGGTGGGGAACCGGACCAACCGGACCATCCGGGTGGGGAACCGGGTCGGGAACCGGATCAACCCGACCATCCGGTTGGGGAACCGGACCAATCGGACCGTCCGGGTGGGGAGCCGAATCGACCGGGTGGGAAATCGGACCAACCGGGTGGGGAACCGGACCAACCGGACCATCCGGGTGGGGAACCGGGTCGGGAACCGGATCAACCCGACCATCCGGTTGGGGAACCGGACCAATCGGACCGTCCGGGTGGGGAGCCGAATCGACCGGGTGGGAAATCGGACCAACCGGGTGGGGAACCGGACCAACCGGACCATCCGGGTGGGGAACCGGGTCGGGAACCGGATCAACCCGACCATCCGGTTGGGGAACCGGACCAATCGGACCGTCCGGGTGGGGAGCCGAATCGACCGGGTGGGAAATCGGACCAACCGGGTGGGGAACCGGACCAACCGGACCATCCGGGTGGGGAACCGGGTCGGGAACCGGATCAACCCGACCATCCGGTTGGGGAACCGGACCAATCGGACCGTCCGGGTGGGGAGCCGAATCGACCGGGTGGGAAATCGGACCAACCGGGTGGGGAACCCGGTGCGGTTCCGGGTCGGGAGCCGGGTCAACCGGACCATCCGGACGGGGAACCGGATGATCCGGGTGGTCCGGGTGGGGAAGCGGACCAACCGGACCAACCGGGTGCGGTACCGGGTGGGAAACCGGACCAAACGGGTAGTGATCCGGACGGGGAACCGGATCACCCGGGTCGGGAACCGGATCGACCGGGTCTGGGGTGGGGAACCGGACCATCCGGGTGGGGAACCGGGTGGGGTACCGGGTCGGGGAACCGGATCAACCGGACCATCCGGACGGGGAACCGGATCATCCGGGTGGTCCGGGTGGGGTGCCAAATCGACCGTGCGGGGAGTCGGACCAGCCGGACCATCCGGGTGGGGTACCGGGTCGGGAACCGGATCAACCGGACCATCCGGATGGGGAACCGGATCATCCGGGGAGGGAACCGGATCGACCGGGTCTAGGGTGGGGAACCGGACCATCCGGGTCGGTCGGGTCGGAACCCGGATCCGGAACCGGGTGTTGAACCGTATCAACCGGATGGGAGCCGGATGGACCCAATCGGACGGACAAGCCGGACCGAAAACGGGTGGGGAACCGGATCGGAACCGGGTGGAGAGCCGAATGGGCCGGTTCGGTCGGATCAACCGGGCCGGAAACGGGTGGGTAACCGGATCAACCGCCCCAGCCGGGTGAGGGATCGGGTCGACCCGGTAGGGAGCCGGATCGACCGGATCGGAACCGGTTGGGAAACCGGATTCACCGGACCGACCGGATCGACCGGATCAACCGGGTGGGGAGCCGGGTCAACCGGACGGGGAACCGGATGGACCGGACCAGCCGGATCATCCGGGTTGGAGCCGGGCGGGGAACAGGATCAACCGGTTGAGCCGGGTCGATGGATCCGGATCCCACCACCCTAGGCGGGATGGATCCGGGTCGCACCCCCCCGGTTGGGATGGATCCCGATCACCCCTCTCGGGATGGGATGGATCCGGATCTCACCACCCTGGACGGGATGGATCCGGATAACCCCGCCGGGGGGTTGGGATGGATCCGGATCACACCACCCTGGATGGGATGGATACGGATCGCACCTCCCCGGTGGGGATTGATCCGGTTCGAAACACCGCGGGTGGGATGGGTCCGGTCCGAACCACCCTGGAAGGGATGGATCCGGACCGGGCCACCGTGGATGGGACGGGTCCGGTTCTTTGACGGCTCCCGGGTGGGTGTGGGTCCTTGGACGGGCCCACACCCTCCCTAGAGCCCTTTATTCTTTGGGTCACACCTTCGTTCTCGACCGGGGTTCTTTGCGGGCTCTAGGGTGGGTGTGGGTCCTTGCACGGACCCCTACCTTCCCTACCGGGTCGGGAACCGGATCGACCGGACCATCCGGACGGGGAACCGGATCATCCGGGTCATCCCGGAAGGGAACCGGATCGACCGGGTCTAGGTTAGGGAACCGGACCATCCGGGTGGGGAACCGGGTCCGGTACCGGGTCGGGAACCGGATCGACCGGGTCTAGGGTAGGAAGCCGGACCATCCGGGTGGGGAACCGGATCGACCGGGTCTAGGGCAGGAAGCCGGACCATCCGGGTGGGGAACCGGGTCCGGTGCCGGATCGACCGGGTCTAGGGTAGGAAGCCGGACCATCCGGGTGGGGAACCGGGTCGGCCAACCGGGTCGGGTACCGGATCGACCGGATCTAGGGTAGGAAGCCGGACCGTCCGGGTGGGGAAGCGGGTCGGGTACCAGGTCTAGGGTAGGAAGCGGGACCATCCGGGTGGGGAACCGGGTCGGGTACCGGGTCGGAAACCGGATCGACCGGACCAACCGGATGGGGAACCGGATCATCCGGATCATCCGCATGGGGTGCCGAACCGACCGTGTCGGGAGTCGGACCAACCGGGTGGGGTACCGGGTCGGGAACCGGATCGACCGGACCATCCGACCGGGGAACCGGATCATCCGGGTCATCCGGGAAGGGAACCAGATCTAGGTTAGGGAACCGGACCATCCGGGTGGGGAACCGGGTCGGGTACCGGGTCGGGAACCGGATCGATCGGGTCTAGGGTAGGAAGCGGGACCATCCGGGTGGGGAGCCGGGTCGGGTACCGGGTCGGGAACCGGATCGACGGGATCTAGGGTAGGAAGCCGAACCATCCGGGTGGGGAACCGGGTCGGGTACCGGACCGGGAACCGGATCCACCGGACCAACCGGATGGGGAACCGGATCATCCGGATCATCCGCATGGGGTGCCGAACCGACCGTGTCGGGAGTCGGACCAACCGGGTGGGGTACCGGGTCGGGAACCGGATCGACCGGACCATCCGACCGGGGAACCGGATCATCCGGGTCATCCGGGAAGGGAACCGGATCTAGGTTAGGGAACCGGACCATCCGGGTGGGGAACCGGGTCCGGTACCGGGTCGGGAACCGGATCGACCGGGTCTAGGGTAGGAAGCCGGACCATCCGGGTGGGGAGCCGGGTCCGGTACCGGGTCGGGTACCGGACCGACCGGGTCTAGGGTAGGAAGCCGGACCATCCGGGTGGGGAACCGGGTCCGGTACCGGGTCGGGTACCGGATCGACCGGATCTCGGGTAGGAAGCCGTACCATCCGGGTGGGGAACCGGGTCGGGTACCGGGTCGGGAACCGGATCGACCGGGTCTAGGGTAGGAAGCGGGACCATCCGGGTGGGGAGCCGGGTCGGGTACCGGGTCGGGAACCGGATCGACGGGATCTAGGGTAGGAAGCCGAACCATCCGGGTGGGGAACCGGGTCGGGTACCGGGTCGGGAACCGGATCGACCGGGTCTAGTGTAGGAAGCGGGACCATCCGGGTGGGGAACCGGGTCGGGTACCGGACCGGGAACCGGATCCACCGGACCAACCGGATGGGGAACCGGATCATTCGGGTCATCCGGGAAGGGAACCGGACCGACCGGGTCTAGGGTAGGAAGCCGGACCATACGGGTGGGGAACCGGGTCGGGTACCGGGTCGGGAACCGGATCGACCGGGTCTAGGGTAGGAAGCGGGACCATCCGGGTGGGGAGCCGGGTCGGGAACCGGATCGACCGGATCTAGGGTAGGAAGCCGAACCATCCGGGTGGGGAACCGGGTCGGGTACCGGGTCGGGAACCGGATCGACCGGGTCTAGTGTAGGAAGCGGGACCATCCGGGTGGGGAACCGGGTCGGGTATCGGGTCGGGTACCGGATCGACCGGATCTATGGTAGGAAGCCGGACCATCCGGGTGGGGAACCGGGTCGGGTACCGGATCGACCGGATCTAGGGTAGGAAGCCGAACCATCCGGGTGGGGAACCGGGTCGGGTACCGGGTCGGGAACCGGATCGACCGGGTCTAGTGTAGGAAGCGGGACCATCCGGGTGGGGAACCGGGTCGGGTACCGGGTCGGGTACCGGATCGACCGGATCTATTGTAGGAAGCCGGACCATCCGGGTGGGGAACCGGGTCGGGTACCGGGTCGGGTACCGGATCGACCGGGTCTAGGGTAGGAAGCTGGACCATCCGGGTGGGGAACCGGGTCGGGTACCGGGTCGGGAACCGGATCGACCGGGTCTAGGGTAGGAAGCGGGACCATCCGGGTGGGGAACCGGGTCGGGTACCGGCGGATCGACCGGACCATCCGGATGGGGAACCGGGGTGCCGAACCGACCGTGTGGGGAGTCGGACCAACCGGGCCAACCGGGTGGGGTACCGGGTCGGGAATCGGATCAACCGGACCATCCGGCCGGGGAACCGGATCATCCGGGTCATCCGGGAAGGGAACCGGACCGACCGGGTCTAGGGTAGGAAGCCGGACCATACGGGTGGGGAACCGGGTCGGGAACCGGATCGACCGGGTCCAAGGTAGGAAGCCGGAACATCCGGGTGTGGAACCGGGTCGGGTGAGGGACCGGTTCGACCCGGTAGGGAGCCGGATCAACCGGGTCGGAACCGGGTAGGGAACCGGATGGGGAACCGGATCTACTGGACCGGCCGGCTCGACCGGGTGGGGATCCGGGTCAACCGGACTTGGAACCGGTTGGACCGGACCGGACGGGGAACCAGATCTACCGGACCGGCCGGATCGACCGGGTGGGGAGCTGGGTCAACTGGACGTGGAACCGGATGGACCGGACCGGCCGGATCATCCGGGCTGGAACCGGGCGGGGAACCGGATCGACCGGGTCGATGGATCCGGATCCCACCACCCTAGGCGTGATGGATCCGGGTCACACCACCCCGGTTGGGATGGATCCGGATCACCCCACTCGGGATGGGCTGGATCCGGATCACCCCACCCGGGATGGGATGGATCCGGATCTCACCACCCTGGACTGGATGGATCCAAATAACCCCACCCGGGATGGGATGGATCCGGATCACACCACCCTAGATGGGATGGATCCGGACCGCACCCCCCGTGGGCTCCGGGGCCTCCTTTTCCCGGTGCCAAGGCCCGGATGACCGGGGGGGAGTGTAAACCAGGGTGGGAGCTTCCTTTCCACGGGTTCATATTCTTCCCAAGGGTCCATTTGACCGGCTGGAATGAGACAAACGCTCCAATGGACCGGCCAAGGTTGAATTCCACCCTTGCATGGGCTCGGGTGGGCTCCGGGACCTCTTTCTCCCGGTGCAAAGGCCCGGATGATCTGGGGGAAGTGTAAACCAGGGTGGGAGCTTCCTTTCTACGGGTTCATATCCATCCCAAGGGTCTCTTCTTGACCGGCTGGAATCAAACAATTGCTCCAATGGACCATCCAAGGTTGAAATCCACCCTTGCACGGGCTCGGATGGGCTCCGGGACCTCCTTTTCCCGGTGCAAAGACCTGGGTGACCGAGGGGACGTGTAAACAAGGGTGGGAGCTTCCTCTCTACGGGCTCATATCCATCCCAAGGGTCCTTTTGACCGGCTGGAATGAGGCAAACGATCCAAAGGACCGGCCAAGGTTGAATTCCACCCTTGCACGGGCTCGGGTGGGCTCTGGGACCTCTTTTTCCCGGTGCAAAGGCCCGGATGATTTGGGGCAAGTGTAATCCAGGGTGGGAGCTTCCTTTCTACGGGTTCATATCCATCCCAAGGGTCTTCTTGACCGGCTGGACCGAAACAGTCGCTCCAATGGACCGCCCAAGGTTGAAATCCACCCTTGCACGGGCTCGGATGGGCTCCGGGACCTCTTTTTCCCGGTGCAAAGACCTGGGTGACCGGAGGGAAGTGTAAACCAGGGCGGGAGCTTCCTCTCTACGGGCTCATACACATCCCAAGCGTCCTTTTGACCGGCTGGAATGAGGCAAACGATCCAAAGGACCGGCCAAGGTTGAATTCCACCCTTGCACGGGCTCGGATGGGCTCCGGGGCCTCCTCTTCCCGGTGAAATGGCCCGGATGACCGGGGGGAAGTGTAAAACAGGGCGGGAGCTACCTTTCCACGGGTTCATATCCGTCCCAAGGGTCCATTTGACCGGCTGGAATGAGACAAACGATCCAAAGGACCGGCCAAGGTTGAATTCCACCCTTGCACGGGCTCGGACGGGCTCCGGGGCCTCCTCTTCCCGGCGAAAAGGCCCGGATGACCGGGGGGAAGTGTAAACCAGGGCGGGAGCTACCTTTCTACGGGCTCATATCCGTCCCAAGGGTCCATTTGACCGGCTGGAATGAGGCAAACGATCCAAAGGACCGGCCAAGGTTGAATTCCACCCTTGCACGGGCTCGGACGGGCTCCAGGACCTCTTTTTACCGGTGCAAAGGCCTGGATGACCGAGGGGGAGTGTAAAACAGGGTGGGAGCTACCTTCCTACGGGTTCATATCCATCCCAAGGGTCCTTTTGACCGGCTGGAATGAGACAAACGCTCCATTGTACCGGGGGATTTAGGGGCC